CGTTTTTACTCTCGGCCGCCGAGGGCGCAACTTATAGCGCACAACCGATAGGAGACCGTTTTTTTCTGGGCCTCCAAGGGCGCAACCTATGGCGCAACCGATCGGAAACGATTTTATGTTAGGCCGCCGAGGTTGCAACCCGATGGCACAACCGATAAGGGACTTTTTTTTTCTCGGCCGCCGAGGGCGCACCTGTGGCGCAACCGACAGGAGACGATTTGATTCTCGGCCGCCGAGGGCGCAACGTATGGCGCAACCGATAGGACACCGTTTCATTCTCGGCCGCCGAGGGCGCAACCTATGGCGCAATATGTAGGAGCCGTTTTTTTTCTATCGGTCGCCGAGGGTGCAACCTATGGCGCAACCGATAGGAGACGGTTTTATTATCTGCCGCCGAGGGCGCAATGTATGGCGCAACCGATCAGAGACGACTTTATTCTCGGCCGCCGAGCGCGCAACATATGGCGCAACCGATAGGAGTCGGTTGTATTCTCGGCCGCCGAGGGCGCAACCTATGGCTCAACCGATAGGAGACGTTTTTCCCTACCCAGGCTCTGCCCAGAGGGTTCTTACCCTGTATCTTAAAGGGGCCGGGCAGTGGAACGCGCCCCGGGCGGTTCCCCCGGCATCCGCCCCGCGGTTCCCCCAGTTACGCCCCCTGGGTTCACCCAGCTTAGCTAAGCTAAGCTAAGCTTAGCTTAGCTGAGCTTCGCTTATCCCATCTTAGCGTAGCTTAGCTTTGCCTAGCCTAGCTTAGCTTAGCTTAGCTTAGCTTGGCTTAGCTTAACACATCTAAGCTTCGCATAGCTTGGCTTAGCTTGGCTTAGCTTAGCTTAGCTGAGCAGTGCTTGTGTGTGTGTCTGTGCGCAGGCAAAGCAAACACACAATCAAGCAACAGCAACATCAAAACAACAACAAACTAAAAGCAACAGCAAACGCACACGCAAAAGAAAAAGCAAAAGCAAAGGCAACGGCACAAGCAAAGGCAAGAACACAGCAAAAGCACAACCAATGCGACAGTGTAGATGTAGATGTAGATGTAGGTGTAGGTGCATCTGTAGATGTGGATGTAGGTGTAGATGTAGATGTATGTGTAGGTGTAGATGTAGGTGTAGATGTAGATGTAGATGTGAGTCTCGCTGTTGATGTTGATGTAGAGGTAGATGCAGGTATAGATGTAAATGTAGCTGTCGGTGTAGAAGTAGATGTTGCTTTCCTAAATGCTCCAACTCCTAGGTAGGGTCGCACTGGGATAATTTATTTTCTGCCGTTGGCCCAAGGAAAAAATCGCCGGGATCATGCAGCGCACCGCGCAGGCACAGCATCCACGACATGTTGTATCCCCATCAACATGCAAGTGCACCATTGCAAATTTCAGCGCTGCGGATGAGCGAGGAGGAGCTGGAGCAGGAGGAAGACGAGGAGGACGAGGAGGAGGAGGAGGACGACGCCTACGAGCAGGATGGGGAGGAGGACGGGGAGGAATACGAGTAGTGCGGGGACGAGGTGTGCGCATTCGAACGCGTATGCTCGCCGTTTGGGCTGGCGGTGGGGCCCAAGCGGCGAGCTGTGATGATGTCTACGGCGCCAGCATCTTTCCAACGACATGCTGGCTTCCAACAGGTTGGATCGGGATGCATCGGCACCCCAGGCTGTGTACGTTGCGTCGGTGGCAGCTCATGGGGGCCTTGTATGCCCTCGACATTGCGACGTTAGGGAACACCAGCGTGCGCTAGCGTCTGGTAGTCGACGAGAAAACGCAGGTGTAGCTTCGATTCGAGGAGTGCCGATCAGCGTCGGGTAGCGCCGATTCGCAAGAACCAGCAAGCTGACATGGAGGCCTCCATACGTTTCCACAGAACACTGCGAAGCACTGCTTGTGTGTATATATATATATAATAAATACATATGGTGCGTATATATTATTATACAGTTGCGCATGCTTATGTTCATGCTTATGGTTGTGCTCATGTTTCTGTTTATGGTTATATCTGTAGAAGTAGACATATTATATATGTCTTACCTACCTCACACCAGGAAACTGACACAGATTGGCGGCCCCCCCTCCAATAGAGTCTAGCGGGCTCCAGAGGCCCCAGAGGTCCCTGAGGCTCGCACTGGTCCCCCACTCGGGTCGCCACTTGGGCCTCCAAGACCTCGCGGAGCCCCCACTTGGGCCGCCGCTTGGGCCTCCGGGACTTCACGGAGCGGCCCAAGATCGCTCACGGTAACCTCGACACAGCTCCAAATGCCACCAAGAGAGCCCCCAGAGGGCTTCAGAGGCCTCTGAGCACGCCCCCGAGAGACCGAAATGTTAAACAAACGTATGTGACATCGATAATGTTAGCCCTTTCGCTTTTCCGCCTCCGATGAACCTCCAAGGCTTCAAGCTGGCCCCCAAGAGATCCTCCGACAGGGTCCCGAGGGGCCCCCAAGATTCCCCAACAGGCCCCAGTTGTCCCCCAAAGCCTCAAGAAGCGCCACAGACGCCACCACGGCCGCCGCGAGCGGGCCCCGCAAGCGCCCCGCAGCGGCGACCCCGAACCACCGCGGTGAGCAAGAAGCCGGCCAAGAAGCCGAAGCATCGAGAAGGACCCACGGCGCAACCCGCCCACCGAGGCACGCAATATTTGTTGCAGAGAGCACGGGGACCCCCCCCCCGTCGCTCGGACACGGCTTAGCGCGGCGTCGGGACCACCTACTCACTACGCGTGAACAAAAACACATCATCACTGCCGATGTGCGGTGCCATCGCTCGTGGCCTTCCTAAACCCCCCCGCCGTTCCCCCCCACACATTCCAACCTCCCGCGCCCGATCGGGCGTGCCATTCTCCGCAGAGTCTGCGGGGTAAGCACGGCCGCCGTCAGTTCCGCCCCATCCTCCCTCCACGCTTCTGCCGTCGGGTCGATCGTAGTCGTGCGAGTCCGACGTCATTTGCGCACCTCCGCGCTTGCGCGGGCGTGCATTGCTGCTGGCCCGTGGAGATATGAAAACATCATCTTTGCCAGGCCTCTCATCTTATCGTCCATCGGCGTCGCGCGCCCCTCCCGTTTCAGGCTTCGGCGCGAGCGCACTCACAGGTGTCCCGCCTCTTTCCGCCCCCGATGTTCCAGCCCCAGGCCAGCCCATCGCCGACATCTGGAGCCGACAGATTCTGGGCGATTCGCACGCCGCGCACTCGCGCACCATGCCGAGACTTTCTAGCGAAGCGCAGCGAGCTCCAAGCCTTGTGTGTGCATACATATGCACGCGCACAACGCTTGTAGATGGTTCGCCATTTCGGACGGGCTATTTTCTTGCAGCGCCAACACCGTCGATGGCTGCAAGTTGTTTACGTGATTGGGGTATCATGTAATCAATGTTCGAACTTGCTTCTAAACGCGCACGCAAGTCACGTGCAAAGGCACACTTGGCGTAAACCGTGCCTCTCAGGCGGCCGCATCCTTTCAGACGCATCTCCCGAGCAGGATTCCGCCTTTTCGTTTGAGGTGCAGGTGGTACAGCTTCGGGGATCCATAGTCTTACATCTTGCCCATCATGCTCTTACTGGGCAGGTTGTGCATGAATTGAGCCCTGGCGGAGCTGCTAAGCCCGCCGCATGACTAGTTGATTCTGAACGACCACTTCGGGAAACGCATGTCGGGCCGCCCTCGGACGCCCGCAACCGCGCCCGCGACCTCGCCTAGGGACGCGCGCAAGTTGGGCCGCAAGCGCATCCACAACCCACCCAGAGAGCACATGTGGGGCCGCAAGCGCGACTGCAAACCGCAACCGCACCAGCAGCCGCTTCACAGCGGAACGTCTGCCCCAGCCGCAACCGCGCCCGCAGTCGTACCCGGGGAACGCATCTCGGACCGCAGCCGTACTCGGACCCAGAGGGCACATTTTGGGCCGCAACCGCAACTGCGCCCAGGGAGCACGTTTTGGGCCGCAACCTCATCTTCGACCGCTAGCGCAGTTTGCGACGCGCATCATGGACCGCAACTGCACGCGGGAAACAAAGCTTGGGCCGTAGCCGGAACTAAACATGGAGTTCATTTGTGGGGTCTCAACCGCATGCGCGAACGGTGGGACACGTGTTGGAGCTTTCCCTTGAACTCTTGTAGGGTGGATTGGCGGATTCTCATGGCCAGCATTCTCATCGTCGTCATCACCATAATCATCATCATCATCATCATCATCATCATCATCATCATCATCATCATCATCATCATCATCATCATCATCATCATCATCGCCATCGCCATCGTCATCGTCATTGTCATCACCGTCCTCGTCGTCACTACCACCATCGACATCATCAACAGCAGCGCTTCAATTCGTTTTCAAATGCGTGTTCACAAAGCCATGACCGTTACCATCATCATCGTCGTCATCATCAGCATCATCATCAGCATCATCATCATCACCATCATTCGTACACCCACCGCTGCCATGCAGTGTGACATGGGTCAGGATGATTACCATTGTGGTGGTGGTGGTGGTGGTGAGTATGTCACCAACCATCACCACCACCAGACGAATTGTCCCCACGCCCCGTGTATGCAGCCCCCGAGTGCTACCGCCAGTGCTGGCCGGGACATCGTATTGGACAGCCTTCATTCCATATTGCCGCTTTTGCTTCGCACTGCGTTTCAATTGACTGTGGACGCGTACGGGGCAGATAAGACGAAGTTTGGAAACAGGCACGCACGCACAGTTCAACCAATACAAACGACACGTGGGAATAAGGCCCGCTTCGGTTTCGGAGCAGGCCCACGGTGGGGTTTCTTGGTGTGTCCTTCCTTGGGATCCTCCTCTGGCGCCCCTCACGTAGATGGACGCACACGCTGGTCAAAATGGGATCCGTTCCCTATTGCAGAGGCCTTGCAGTCGGCTCTCCCGACCCTGCAGCAATAGAGCACTTCGGCGCAGCAGTTTGAAGGGGTGATGGGGCAAAATAGAATAGTTTTCGTCCCTTTCTGCCACCGCGCTTGGGTCGCGTTCCAGGATAATCGAAGACATTTTGGGGTCTCTTGGGGTCTCCTTGGGGGTTTGTGGATCACGTTGAAAGGGTTGGCTTCCAGCGGCGCGGCGATGTCGCGCGTGTTGACCCCCCTTTGGGCTGTTTTTGGGGACCTTGTAGGGTTCCTCTGCTGAGCCTCTCGGACCAGTCTTGGGGGCTTGTCGGACCGCCTTGGACTTTCCTGCGATACTCTTGCAGCCGAAGTTGGAATTTCGCGTGCAGGAATCTAGGATCAATAATATGAGTTTGTCCTTGTCGGCCAGCCCCCAGCGTTTCCTAGATAACCCGAGAAGGCCCCCCAACGACGCCGAATTGAGTCTTAAGAGGGCTCCAGCGGGCCTGGGTGGCCCAGACATTGCCAAAACCAAGCGGCCCCGAGATAGCCCGAGCCCCTCGAGGAAGGCCAGGACCCCTCCCCCGCCGGACCATCTCCCAGGACCCCACCCATGGCGGGAAGGGGGATCGAAGGGAAGATGTTTCCCGTCTTTGCGATTACAATGCAGTTTGATTTCCCTGAGGTTGGTGCGCTTGAGGATCGGTGCTCACGGTAGCCACAGGGAAAGGGGGAAAGCTTCAACATGAAAAAGCCTATCGCACACGCCGATGGGCTCGACATACTGAATGCTCCTTATGGCAAGGCCTTGACTTTACAAAGCGAGGGTGAGGAAACAACGACAGATCATGCGGAGTGGAATTCAGCAGTTGCGTGCTTATGATGTTGCTTGTCGTTGCGACACGGGTGGGGAAATTCAGGGTGTAATGGTCGACGCGGTACGTTGGACATGTGGCCTTTCATGTGACGTCGGCGTCAGAAAAACTAGTATGTTTTACGCGCGATGACAGCAGCGACGGTGACGATGGTACTAAAAGACTGGGGCTCTGGGGAAGACTGACGAGATTGCTTGTCGCGTGTGGTTTGGTAGCAGTGCCATAGTGAACCCACAGACTGGGCATGGAATGGCTCAGAACTGGTCATACGTAGTATTGAAAAACATCATCTGCAGCGGGCCGGCTGTTTTCCTTGCGTCGAAGTACCCGTTGGGTGGACTCATTTTGGTCTCGCCCTTCTGCTCCATCAAGGCAGCAATGCACAACATAGTTGGGCGCGCATTCGCGTGGCCCTTTGCGGAGCGTTTCTCGAACTACAAGTTGATCGGGAACGTGTCGTGCCCAACGTTGTTTATCCACGGTGACCAGGGCTTCACCTCGAGCGATCAGAGAGAGACAGAGAGAGTGGTTGGGATTAGTGTGTCTCCCTCTTCCTTCTGTTCCTTTTTGTCGTTGTCCTCCATCTTCTCTTTCCCTTGCTGCCCCTCCACTTCTCGCGCTCTTCGTCGTCATCCCTCCTTCCTCCTCCTTCGTCCCGTCCCCTTCCCACTCTCCTCCCTTCCTACTCCCCTCCCCCCTCCCATCCCCCCCTCGCCTTCCATCCCTCTTCCCCTCCCCTCTCCGCTCCCATCGCCCCCTCTCTCTTCCCCTCCCCGCCCATCCCTCCTCCCACCTCTTCTCTTTGCAGCTCCAGGCCACACGGGCAAGGAGCCTGTCGGGGCAACCCGCTCAAGCGGTCATGTTTGTACGCTCCACGAGTCCCAGGGAACCGCGAATCGTGTGACCACCCCCGAGTGCAAACAGTGCCCTGGAGCCCGTGAGCCACTGATGTTTTGGCCTCTCGGCGCCACATTCACTCGCAGGTCGATCGCGCCAACAAATGTCGTTCATACGTATCCGTGCTCGGTACCACTCACACAGTCCACTCGGAATCGCAGCGCGGTCTCGGAAAAAATATGTTGTCCTGCCGTGCCGGCGCGCCCTTATCAGATTTGCGATGCGCCTGTCTGTGTTCACAAATCGTTGCATCAATTTTGTTTTCGCTTTGTGCGGCCGTAGCCTTTGGGCACTCGGCTGGTGCACGCGGGTGTGCTTCGAGTTTCGCATCGCGCTTCGGCAAACGAAAGTCAAAATCTAAGCCCCTGTGGGGGTGGTCATCACACGTGGCGGTTCTGCGACCGTCACTTCGGAAATCACTGTAAGCAGTGGTGGGTTTGAGACGGCAGGGGGGATTGCAATTTGAGATTCTCGTCTCTTGGGAGCTGATAGGGAGCCCACGCGCACGATTACGTGAAAGCTTCGACACTTTTGGTTTTGATTTCTCGTAGGGTCTTCTCCTTCTCCTGCGTTGTTTCCCTTCTCCCTCATCCACGCCAAGCACGCTCCACGGAGTCAGGCAATGTAGCGATTGGCTGGTGAGATAGGTAACTACAAGCTGACCGACGAACACGGAAGGAGAGCATATCATACGAAACCAATAGTGCCATCAAAGGTGTCCAAGCCAGCAATTGCCCAGTCAATGCGTAAAGCAACAGGCCGTCCCGCTTCCCTGCGCCACCATGCCACCATGCCCCGCAAAGGAGGTTCCCCGGTATGAAGCCGCCCATAGCATAGAATCGTTCGGCAGTAGTCTTACGCATATGTAGTTGCCCATGCGCGCACACGAAAACATTCACACCCGCACGCAGACACAAGGCGCACGACGCGCGTGCGATCGCGTGGGCATGCGGCCAGGGTCGCACGCGCGCGTGCTTGTGTGTACGTGCGCGTGTGGGAGTGCGGATGCGTTTGTGTGTGTGTGTGCACATGTGTGTACGCGTGCATATGTGCGCGCACGTGCAAGCTTTCTTTGCATGGATGGTAGTCAATGTTAGCCAGCGTTTACCCCAAGCAGTGATTTCTTACAGTCTATGCGGTGCAGCCTAGGTGGTGCTTCAATGTGGTGCAACCTGCGCGGTGCCATCGATGTGGCGCAAAGTAACGCAACACAATGAAAACCAATGCAAGGCTATACAACGGATTGCAAAGCAACGCAAAGCAATGCAAAGTAATGCAATGCCATGCGATACATCGCAATGCAATGAAATGCACAGCAATTCACAGGAATTGACAGCAATACCAAGCAATGCAACGCAATACAAATCAAATAAACGCAATACAGCGCAAAGCATTGCAAAGCAATACACGACAATGCAAAGCAACGCACAGCAATGACAACCAATGCGAAGCAATGCAAAACGATGCGAATCACTGCGAAGCAACTCGGGGCAATGCAATGCAAGGAAAGGCAATGCCAAGCATCGCAAAGCAACGCAAACCAATACAAATCGATGCAAAGCTGTGCAAAGCTGTGCAAAGCAATGCGAAGTAATGCGAAACCATGCAAAGCGGGCTGCGACGAGGAGGTTGGCGGCGACGAGGGAGGCGGCGACGGCGGCCACACGGCGGTCAGAGCGGCCCGCAGGCCCAGGCGACGGGCGGCGACGAGGCGGCGACGGCGGCCACACGGCGGTCAGAGCGGCCCGCAGGCCAGGCTTTTGAACAGACTTACGAAACCTTGCGTGCAAGCACTGTTCGGGGAGCCTCGACACGGGCATCGACACCTCGATGCAACGTGCTGAACGAGTATTTCTGCACTGCGTGTGACAGACGTTGCTGCATCACAGGTGGGGCGACGGCCGTGCATAAGGAATATGCTGCCCTCGGGGGTGAGGCCTCCGGCACACGCCCTACCATTTGTGTTGACGCCGTCGCACGGGCGACCCTCCACCGGCGAGTGGGGTAGAACGGGTAAGCGTGCGCAAACGGGGCGGAGGGGAAGGAAAGAGGAGGGGAAGGGCGAGGGGAGGGGGAAGCACCTGATAGAGTAGACGGGGCAAGGGAGGCAGGGAGGGCGAGGAGGAAGAGGAGGAGGACGAGGGCGACGGGCAAGGGCCCAGTGTGGAAGGAAGGGGAGGGCAAGGGACGTCGCTCTGCCTTCGCCCTCGCCCCGGCCGCCTCCAGAGGTGAGGCCGACGCACTCGTGCCGGCCGAGCACTCGCTGCGCCTCTTCGAGAGGCGCCCCCGTGCCGTTGCTGGCGCCATCCTCCTTCACCTCCGCCCCCCTATCCGCGTCCTCGTCCAGCTCGCAGCGTCGTCCTCCTTACGGCCAGGAGCGCGCTCGCTTGTGGCGTGGCGCGCCGCCAGTGTTGGCCCCCCACGCCTCGGCGCGACGCGCTGAGCACGTCGCGGTTCCCAGGCGTCAGCGTTCCGAGCTCTCCCCGGCCTCCCGTCCCGCGAAGCGGGGCGACTCGCCATCAGCTTGGCCGGCATGGCGTGTCGCATGGGCCGCCACCGCCACATGATGAGCAAGAGCTCTTCACCGCATCGTATCATCGCATCCGTCCTCCCCCATCCCTCCTCCTGGCAAGTGGCTTCTCGCCGTCGAACCTCCGCGCGCGTCGGCCAGGCAGTCCCAGCGCGTCACGTGATACCCTTCTACAACTCATGCTCCTAAGATGTGTGTCGTCATCGTCTGCACAGATGTCTCCGACACGTGGCATCACATGGTAATTGGTTGGGGCCGGATCATACTCCACATTTTGCCGCAGTTTCGTGGATCTAGGCTGTTCCCTTGTCAGAACCAGTTTGATGCTTTACATTTGATTGCTGCTGCTGGTTATTCACATATCTACGCATGTATGTTTGTGTATATATATATATATTTATTCCCAGCATGTGCACGCATGAGGGGGTGTATTTTGCAAAACCAGTTTTTGTCTCACGTTATGTTCAACAGTTGGTAAAAAGTTTGATCTGATCAACTATCACACGGATGGAAGGCAACTCATTTGAAGTCTTGCTCTTTGTTTCAGGCGCCGTGCAAACAACACGCACCAGATACATGGATGGAAGGTGTTTCGTTCTAAATTTTGTAATGCGGTATTAAGTCAGGTTTCGGGCACTCGATGTGATCGCCTGCGTGCAGTGTAAAGCCGCTAATGTCTGGGCCATCTCAGTCCTGCAGCATGCTATGGCACGACCATTGGATTCCGACTCTTCACCCGTCTCGGGTCCGCTACAGTCGGGGCGCTGAAGAAGGAACCCTTTTGCGTTGGGGAGGGGCTCTGTGTTCCTTAATTGTTTCGCAGTTTGCCTTAGGTTTTCCTTTGGTTTTTCTATGGGAAATCGAAGTTTAACTTATGGAAGACAGGGGGCCTACACCCCGACTGTAGTCGTCGCGAGGCCGTCGGAGGTCAGGGTGTGAGAGCGAAGGAACCCCAACCAGGAAAGTGGCTTCGGCTTCGCTCCTTGAAGCGCGTGCGGGCGGGGCGAAGCTGCGCGAGGCCGATGACGTGTCGGCGAAGGCGAGGGCCACGTCGTGCTTGTCTTGCGGTGCCTCGCGGTGCCGCGGTGCCTCGCCGTGCTTGTCTTGCGGTTGTCGCGTCATTACCTTGGGGTTTGTCCCGCGGGTAATCCCGCGGGTTGTCGTGTCGTTCTCTCGTGAGTTGGCCCGCGGTTGTCCCGTGGATGGCGCTTGTTTCGTAGGCTGTCCCTAAATCATTCCGAGGATGTTCCCTTTGGGAATGCACATCGACATGCACATCCAATGGCAATCGGAATGCACATCGAATTGCACATCCAAGTGCAAGCAAAAGTGCACATCGAAATGTAAATATAGGATCACACCGGTGCATGCCAGTGTGGGTTACAAGAACTGTGAGTTGTGGTTGCACTCTGGATGGGTAAGTTGTGTGGCTTCCGACTGCAAGCTACGTGATGAAAGCTGTGTGGTGCAAGCTACGTAGTGGAAGCTGCGTGGCGCCCACGAGGCGGGCATGAGGCCCACGATGCGCTCACCGGCGCCCACCAGGCGAAACCCCGTCCGACCCACCACGCGCGTGGCGCCCGCGAGGCACCCACCTGTGCCCAGCAGGTGAAGCCCTGGCGGGCCCCTGCGGCAAGCACTGTCTGAGGAAGAATTCACACCGAGATGCACATCGAACAGCACATCGATACAGCATACACTCGCTTGGTCTGCGGGACTCGAATCTGACAGAGGGGCGCCTGTCCCAAAAGATCGTTTGGGCCCAGTTTCGAAGCTTGTTGCTTAGGGAGGAGGCTCTGGACCTCGTCGAGCATGACTCTTCAAGAGAATCTAACCTCGGGGGGGAGGGTGGTCGCTCTTCGGCATGCCTGGGCGATTCTCCGAAAGTTGTTCTGCACTTTGCCAGTGTGGTCCAAGTGGCGAGATTGAGTCGCTTGCAGTGGAGGTGTTTCTTTTGGTTGCAACGCACATGTGAGCAGGTGTCGATGTCGCTGGAAGCCAGAAAGCGTGGCTCCTAATGTGCAATCTTAGCCAGCTCTGCTTCTGATGGGGCGTTGCCACCCTCTTCGGGGCATTACAAGAAGTGCGCTGGCGGCTTGAAACCCAGAGTGCGGGTGTCCGTGTTCATGGTTTGTTGCTTATATGAACAGGCGTCGTCGCGTTGCCGATTGTGCTGCGCAGCTCACGCACTTGCCTGCAGCGCAGCATCTCTGCTGCCCGTCGAGAGGCCGGAACAATGGAATGCCGCATGCTACCAGACGCCCCCCCAGTCATTCCAGTGAAGCGACGCCCAGGTGCCGTGCCCGGAAGCTTCTGGTCATGCCGCCTACCATGGAACACAACTCGCACCTCTTCAGTGACTCCCACTGCAAAGCGCTAGGATACAGAGTGGCAGGGGCAATGAACATGGCACCTAGAGGAGGGCGACATGGAGAGAAAGAGAGAGAGAGAAGGATGTAGAGACGAGGACGAAGAGAAGGATCTACACGGAGCGTATTCATAGTTTCTTGGTCTAGGGTATGAGCGGGCATGTTTGGTTTGGCATGTGCGGGCATTTGCCTGACATGTGCCCGGCATGTACGGCCGTTTCTTCCGCGGACGCGCAGCAGCCGATCGACGTGTGCACATGCATTGGCATATTTGCGTGAAGACGGGTGTTCGGTCAATTGCGCGCTGCGTCGGTAGTTGACGATTCTGGATGGGTTGCCTTTTCACGCGCCTAGAAGGCGGAACGACGTTCGGTTTTGTGACGCCGAAGGTAGCTGGATGATGTACATGAAGGCTCTGGGGGCTGGCTCCGGGGCATTCAGGGGCAGTGAGGGTGGCTCTTGGGGCCTAGTGAGGCTTCCCCGCTTGCGGATGCCTCCAAGCGCTCATTCCATCGGCAATTGTTTACCCATCTACTCATCCATTAAGTCAGCCATCCACCCATAGGGTCTGAGAGGGGGCGATGCAAGGCTGAGAGGGCCCTGGGAGGCGCGCGGAGGCTGTGGAACCCTTCGAGGTATCCAGAGGCGTGTATGTGCGCGCGTGTGTGTGTGTGTGTGTGTGTGTGTGTGTGCGTGTGCGTGTGCGTGTGCGTGTGTCTGTGTGTGTGTGTGTCTGTCTGTGTGCGTGTGTCTGTCTGAGAGCTCAGGCGGGTTTAGTCGCGCGCTTTGCTGTTTTCCTACCTTCTACGCCTTGCCGCCGCGCGCAGGGCCGCGACGCCCCCCCCCCCCAGAAGTGTGCGTGTGTGTATGTGTGTGCGTGTGCGTTTGCTTGTGCGTGTGCGTGTGTCCGTGTCTGCGTGCGTCCCCCATCAGCTGCTGCCCGGCGCCGCGGCTGGTCCCCCCTCCCTCGGCGCTCCCTTCGTCGCTGCC